GATTTTTTTATAAATATAATTGACTGGAAGCAGAGGGGAAACGGAGTCCAGAATATAGAAAAGAATGGCATAAAACGTAGAGCAGCATGTATTAATATTATCTTGAGTAGTGACAGATGACCAGTCTTGGACAGAAAGTTGGAGGTTGATTTTCCTAAGAGAATCAGGACAGAGATTTCTACGAAGTTTAATTGGAGCTGTTGGAATGGGGAAACAATAATTTGGACATAAAGCGAAAATAGGAAAATGGTCGGAAAAGTCATGTAAAAGAATACCAGAAATGTGATGAGATAGATTGCTTGTGAAGATATTGTCTATTATAGAAGAGGAAGAATGAGTCACTCTGGTAGGCTGAGATATAAGAGGAACAAAGTTGAAGGAAGCCAGTAAATCGGAAAAGGAAGCAACGAGTTTATCAGAGCAGGCCTTTGAGAGATCTAAGTTGAAATCGCCGACAAGGTAAACTTTAGAATTGGTTTTAAGACTAGATAAAGCGAGGTCAAGTTTTTGAATTAAATTGGAGGGGTCAGAGTTAGGTGGTCTATAGATAGCAAATACGATGACGTTGGATTTGTGAAATTTAATTTCAATACATAGACAATCGGCGACGTCGTCCGTTGATAGGGCATTGTCGAAAAGTGTATAATCTAGTCCCAATTTGAGAAATATCCCGACACCACCACCCTTTTTATTAGATCTGTTTTTGAATAAAAAATTATAATCTGGTAAATTGATTAAATTAACCGATTCGTCGTTTAACCATGTCTCAGAGATAACAATTACATTGAAATAATTACTTATAACATTGTTTAACAATAATAAATCGTTTACTTTGTTTAATAAACTACGACTATTTATATGTAGGATTGACAAGAGGTTATTAGATTTTAAATCATTATTATTTAACATATTCAAAAGATTATCAATTGAATAGTAAGGAGAAGAGAAAGTGAAAGAATCCAGTATGTTAAAGTCAGGGTCAATGTTTGAGTGAAATGTACTATGATCAATAACAGGAATTAATGAACACGAATT